AATTTTAATTATCTAGGTGAGTAATTTTGTTGGGGTGAAAAAATATTTTTAATTCTTAAAGATCAAAAATTAATAAACAATATAAAATTGATTTTAATGTAGTGATAAATTAGCAATGTAGGTATATTTTACTGATTTCCTGATTCCTCTAGGGACTATAAGTCAGCATATAGGAATAAAATATTTACTGTATAAAGGAATCTGAGAAGATAATATTATTTTATAGTATAATATATTTATTATTGGAAATTATAGGTAACATAATTATTACTGTAAAACAAAATATCAATATTAATTAAATAATAAAAAATACCTATATATATAGACATATAGTCTGATTTTAATAATTATTTATCTGTAGGTGGCTAGTTTAAATATKTTCACAGGCAGGGGATGAAGTGTGAGGATGCAAAGGAATGAGTCTTTCAACCACTAATGGTGGTTAAAAGACAACCCCTTTAACAAATTAGCCATAACTCATAAGGTACATTTGAACCATGGGTGCAACTAAACATTTGCATAAGGGGGTTTTTAAGCTCCAAGTCTTTTTTGTAACTTAATAGGACCATGAATTTTTCGAAAAACTTAGTGAGCTAATTTGGACTTAGGGGTACTAAAGACCCAAAGCACTTGCCCTATTTGTGCCAATGACCAGAACGCTCCAATTATAATACAAAATTATTATAATGTATATTTATTTTTATTTTTCTATGAATTCTTATTATGTAATGTTAAAGAAAACATTTACTAAAGAAAATACAACTTATATTCCTATTTAAGTTGTTTTATTCTAAAATAGCTCTTTATTAAATAATGAAATAATGTACAATTGATTTTCATACATACATATATATATATATATATATGTATATATATATGAATGTGTCATGTTTCTGCTCACCCCCACCTTGCGTTGAATTTTAATTTTTCCTTCTAGAATTTTAAACACTAAACACATACATTTGTATGATATAAAAAAGTTATGTCTGGATGATTTCTTCAGTTTTCTTGAAAGACAACCACTACTTACAACTTAATATTATGAGAAGAAWTATGCTCTCAAAATATTAAATCTGTATAAAACATATTATGTTAATCTTAAAATGAAATGGTTATCTTGTCGTATGTGCTCTACTACCCAATTTATCTTTAATATCTTGACTTAATGCTAATAAAGATTATTTGCAACATTTAATATGGTATAACACTTGACTCATTGGTTAATTATTTATATAATTTTACGTGTATTATTTTTTACTTTATGATTTAATTTGTATAATGATTTTATTTTTCAATCTATAAATTGTAATCRTAATCCGTATCCGGCCCAGATAATATTATTATCTTCAAAATTATCTAAACTACGATGTTTGCCAGAATAAAATAAATCTAAAAATACGGTTTCTAAATATTCCTATAGTTCGACTTCTTGTATATCAAATTAATTGCTTGTGCCTATCACCTGTGTATGTATATTAGAGTGGTAAAAACGGTAGAGCGCATACAAGACAGCCAAGGAAGTATTATTAATGATTTAAATTTATCATGAAAAAAATTACAAATTTTAACATTAATCAGGTTTAAAAGTGGTATGAATATTTTATACCATCTCTGTTTATACATTTCATATACTCAATGTATTCTATGAAATTCTACATAAGATAATATAGGTATGGATTGCTTAAAACTATAAGGAGACATTAGTCCCTCAGGAATTTTTCCCCACTTTAAGCACGTCATATGGATAAAATTTTCCGCCACTAATTGAATAATTATGTTCTCACTTAATTTACATTATACTTATCCTATTTCAGATATAAGACTTATTATTTATTGTATSATGTAGTTAAGATTCTTAGACATGTCAAAAAATTGTATAATATATAATATAATAATTATTGCCTGTATAGAACATATTACATAAATTCAATTATAATGTTGCATTTTGATAAATAATTTTTATCACAGAAATTTGAACAGCAATATTCCAATGGCATACTTGAGAGTAATGCATATTAGATTAATCTCAATAATTTTAATTCCTCAAATAATTTCAAAATTGGAAAACACACTACAAAAAATTACATACAATTAAAACCACAGAACACACACTGTATTACTTATTGAGTATTATTACACCAGTACAAAATCGTCATSCACAATACACATAATAAATAATTACATGTCTATAAAATTATTTTATAAATATAATCTAATATTAATAATTAATACCTAATTTATATTTTAAAATATAAAATGCGTGAATAAATTGTAAGATTTATATAATTTTGTATATATTGAAAGGTTTTAAATTATTATAAATCAACTTAATAGATATAATGTATTTCTTAGGTATTTTACTAATTTTTAAAGCGTTTAAAATTTAAAAAACTTATTAATAGAATTAAATGATGGAAATCTGTATTAATATAATGTCATATATTTACAAAAAAAAAAAAAAAATATATAGAAGCACAAATAACTGAAAATACAGGTGTAATAATCATGAGCAACCCTCAAAGTATGTTTCAGTTATACCTCTTCTCCAGACAGATAAAAAACCAAATAAAATTGAATACACAGATAATTACTAATGGATACTAATTTAACTACATTAAATAGTATGAAAAGAGTATAATATATGATTGAATACATAATTGAAAAGCAAAACACAAATTGTATTTATTTTTTTATTATTATTATTATTATTATTATTTACATGAAGCCATCGCCACCAGGACCTCCAGGTTTTTGGGCTTGAACGCTAAAACAAAAATAAATAAAATAAGTTTAATTTCATATTTTACACATCATAAGCTATGAAGTGGTTAAAGTTTTAAAAATAATTTAATTGACAAAATTTAAAAATATACCAATTATTTTATTTTTACACAGATGTGCAATAAGGTATAAAATTTAAAAAATAATAATGCTATACAAAAAAAGATATGGATTTAAATATAATACAAATCTTAACACAATACTTAAGCTAGAATAGATCTTTAAAATTATTTTTTAGTAAGGTCAGTTTTAAAATACTTTTGGTAAACAATGTTTTTTAAACTTACAAAATAACTTTAAAAACAACAATCCATGCAAGCATTAACACTTTTATACTCAGATGCTTTAAATTTTAGGGGAAATAATAAAAATTTGCTAATTTTAATAAAAACAAATCGATAACATTTTCACATCAGAAAATATTAAATTAAATTTTAAATATTCTTAGTGAATAGAATAATTTGTATCAGGGATGGGTAGCCACACAAGTTATTAGAGGGCTAATTTATATAACTTTAAAATCTAGAGGGCAAGAACATTGACAACAATATTAATATGAAGACAATTAAATATTGCAAAAGTGAATATTCTTTAATTGATTATTATATTTTAAAGCACAATTCAATGTCTTTTGTAGATAAAAACAGATTTGTTTACAATTCACATAATTATAATTATAAAATTAAGTATCTTGCTCTTCAACTTCAACTGTCATAAGATTATAGCACAAATTTCTTATCCCCAAACAACGTAATATATAAATATATATAAAACGTTATAATTATAGAGGAATTTAAAAATATAGCAAAGTCAGGTCAAAAAGCTATGCAGGCGAAATTCAATACACCAATTACCCATCTCTGATCTATATATCATTAGAATAATGGTATAATAGGGATAAGTGCTATACAGTTATGAATGAACACTTAACAATAATATCTTAATTTTACAAAATTTGTCTAAAAAAAAAATTTCAAAATTAAAACATTTTTTCATTTCAAAATTAGTAAATATATATTATTTCCCATGTTGGCCACAAAAAAAAAATATAACTAAGCAAGATTTAAAAATGCAATTGACAGTATAAAAATTATATTTATACGGACATAAAATATGGTTGAACATTAAATTATATCTAACATAAAATAATTTAAATAAAAAATAGCAATAAATTAAATTTTCAATAAAATGTAGTTGTTAATCATTTTTATGAAATTTTAATCAAAAACAAAATTAGAAGAAAAAATGTAGGTACTTTTGGATGAAAAATACAATACAAAATTATAATATATTTAAACAAACAATCTTAAGTAAAATATAAAGCATATAAGTTATTAGATAGTTAAAGTAGATAAAAGCAGTTATGTTGTTGCATGCTGTTAATCGATACTTTCGTAAGAAGACTAGAGACTTCTTGTTAGGAAAATAAATTTTTTTTAAAACAACAAAATCACTAGTCTTCCATACGATAGTTAACGGTTTTCTTGTAGCTGAGAACCCATAGTTAGCTGCATTGGCACTTCKTTTTTACATGTTAGTATTTTTTTTATAAGATCCTTTCACCTTAAATAATACACATTAAGAAAGAAATATAAATATAAAATATTTACCATTGTTGTAATAAATATTGTGCCATTTGAATTTGACTGTCTGTGCCATTTATAGTGATTATTCGTTCATCTGAGCCTTCAGTTGGTTCGCCAATAGTGATTCCGGCTCCTGAATCTTGGCGTATACGGCGTATTCTAGCGCCGGCTTTGCCGATTATCGCGCCCGCGAGCTTTAAATAAAATAAATATATTTAAATAAGTATAATGGACAGTCACTATGATTTCTCATGAAACTTTTTAAAAAGTTTAAAATATTTTAAACTTCTAGATAATAATATATCTTTAAACAAATAATTTTTAGTTGTATGCTAAGATTGACTTTAAAATTAATAATATAGCTATGTAAAAACTGAGTCTTAATAAATAACTAAGAAATAATTTKTAATATAAAAACAGAGCAAAATTTTAATCACATGYTGATGCCAATAAAGTAATCAATGATCTGTAAAATGCTATACAATGTTAAATATGGATAGATTAAACATTATTAACATATAATGTAAGGTTWAATAATGATAGATGAGCACTTATGCTAAATTGTGGGAGTTGGGTTAACATTCATCATAAAAGTTTAAACATAACATACTAAATTATATTCAAATTAAATGAGAATCTAGAATGAACACGAGTTTAATAATTTAATTTACAAGTATTGTGTTATTTATTTACATGACAAATTATTCAAATTATTGCATTTATCAAATAAATTAGAACAATATATAATTATTTCATCTTTAGGAAACACCATGTCCATATAAAATAGGTCAAAAACTGTTGAGTTTCGTTAAAAGGTAATTAATTATAGTATAAACTATATTTAAATGTTGAATTGATGAAGTAAAATTAGAAACATAAATCACATCAAAGAAGCACATTTAATTATAATATTTATTACCCAATAGGAAATTAAAAACATGTATTTGAGTTAAAATATTTGTAAAAAAGAAATACACACAAGGGATCGCATACCGAAAAACAATGGAAGCAACAGTTTTAATCGCTAAAATGGAACTACTCAAGACAAACGTACCGAAATATCAAATAATATAACAAAACAAAATTTAATTGGAGTTAATTGAAGCACAAAGTTAACTAACTTAAACGAACTATTTATATCACATATTCCATTCAATGTACCTTAAGTCTTCTCTTCTTAATTTTTTCTGTTCACTGTAGTTTTTTTATTTTATTAAGTTTTTTACTGCTTACATAATGCTAATAGTGATGCATTAATTTCCCCCTGATAGAAATACTATTCTTTTTTGCTTCTATTTTTAATTATCTTACTAACTCATATTAATGTTTGGTTAATAAAATTATTATCGCTTATATTTTACATTTATTGATAATTATTATGCTTTTCGGTACGCAAGCCTTGTGCATAACTCCGTCAACGGTAAAACTGTCACTTACATCTTTCGGAATTGTGACTTGCGTAGAACCATTAAAAGCCGCAGGTTTTCCAGCTCCAGGACCCATAGCTGGAGGAGGCATACTAAAATCACTCATAGGACCATCATCAAATCCACCTTTTGTAATAAAAAAATATGAATTATATTACACAAGAAAACCTGCTATAAAAAATTTTGTATTTMAGTTTTGAGATAATTATATTAGAAATGTCAAATTTTACTTCATTTTTAGTTTTAATTGTATCATAAAAACAAAAAAAATTTTAGCATTAAACATACATGGATTAATATGTATAATAACAAATTCATAAATTTGATTTGTGTTAGTTAAATTATAAGATATTAAATAAATAGAAAATATTAATACTGATAGGCCTCAATATGGTTGAAAATATTTCTTGTTAATTAGTATTTTAATACATTAATTGAAGGTGAATTAAATTATGAGATATTAAGATATACCTAATAAGATTCATATTATCTTAAAAAATAAATGTTATTAATTAGACAAAATGCATTTATCAATATCATATACCTAAATTTATAAAGATTTAAAAAAAACAAAATATATAATTTCATTAAGTAGATAAATCGATAAGTATCTAATTCATAATTACAATTAATATATAATAACAACTTTTAAATTTTATTTGTTGTATTATATAATAATATATGTAAAATTCTGGACATATCACTAGTCAGAAGTATTCACCTAAAATGTATTTATAATGAAATTTTAATTTCTTAATTAATAGCTTATAACTAGATAGGTAATATTTATAAATAATTGTATAAAATTATAATTTGTACTAATACAATCACTATAAAGTATGTAATACAAATTTAATAATCAATTGTTTTTTTACAATATTGATCTTAATTTTAAACATTTTTAGACCATTTTAACTAAATTATATTTACTGTGATGAAGATTGAAAATAATATAATAATATAAATATGTTTGAAACTCCTATAATCAAAATTATTTAGAAAGTATTATTCAATACATTTGAATAAGAAATTCATTAGATTGCATAAGTTTAATTTTTCTAATATAGGCATGATTTGATTAAATTAGGATAAAAATTATGTTTCTTTTTGTTTTTCCCCCAATATTAACATTAAATTAACTTTTGTATCATATACCCAAATTATAAATAAATAGAGTAGTGAAAATGATTGTTCAAACAAATTATTTTCGTGTTACTGGTAATAATAATAAAAATATATGTGGCTTGGTGAGGCGCGATCATACGCTCAATCTGCAGAAACGCACTGGGTGTATGTACCGGCCGCAGTTGCTAGCTCCCAGATGGGTGACCACCTGTGAATTTTAGCAACATATCCTTGCCACACAACAMGTGTTACAACCCTTCCCACTAAAAAACCCTACAAACTCAATACACAAACAATAACCCCTACTATACCRCCCCCCACCCAATGGCCTTGGTCGCCGGGCTTTAGATCAATAAAAAAAAAAATAAAAAATAAAAATATAACTTACCACCATAACCTCCTCCACCACCACCGCCAAAGTTTCCAGAGCCAACATTATTTCCATAACCACCTGGTCCGCCACCATAGCCTCCAGTATTGCCTCCATAATTTCCTCCACCAGTATTATTGAATCCTCCACCTCCACCGCCGCCAAAACCGCCACCACCTCCACGGCCACCTCCGCCGCCTCTGGAATAAGCCCTTAAATATATGGAAAATAAGAATCAATTATTAAAAAACTAATAAATAAAAATAACATGGTACATTATTTTTATCAATAAATTAATAATAACTTTTAATAAAAAGTTTATAGCTTATGAGTTATAACTCATAACTATTTATAGTCAAGACACAAAAAATGGGCAASGAAAAACAAAACTTTTTGATAACTTATATTTCTAGTAATAATACAATATACAAAATCTCAAAACAATATAAATAATTTAACATTTAATAGTTATAATTTATAGCAAAGGTGGCTAATTTTCTGACTGCCTTTAATTATTTTATGCCTCATGACATTTTCCTACATTTTCACGAGAAAATATATTATATAAAAATTATTAATTATATTTATCAAGAAAGCCTAGTATCAGAATATTCGTAAAAATGTGATGCCCAATGACACTATAATAAAAATATTTTTTATCTAATTTTTTATAAGGAATGAAGAATTAAATGCATTTTCAAAATGAGATTACTTCGGTTGGCAGCCATCCCAAATTTATACATAGTATAATATAATTTATTGACATAAGATATTTTTCAGAAATAATAATATGTAACACTTACATTCCCCGATTATTCATAGGTCCACCACCACCACCGCCTTGGAATCTTCCTGGTCCAGGTGGTCCACGTTGATTCATATTACCACCTCTCATACCACCACCACCAGCTGGATTACCATAACCACCATATTCATCAGAATAGTATTCATCAAAATTATTGGGATCATAAGGATCTTCTGCTCCCTTAACAGGGGCCTAAGGAATTAAACCAACAATAAAGAATTATACATTGAAAAATTAATAATTTTAAAAAAAACTTACAGTTTTTAATAAATCCAGGACTTCCCTTACACAATCTGAACAAGTATTTGGCTTTCCAGTTATTTGTACAACTCTATCAGTACTCATAGGACAACAACTTGTGTAAATTTTAATCCGTGATCCAGTTTTCTAAAATTATTTGTAATTGATAATAAAGGTATTACTTAATTGTATAAGTTATTACATAATTTAAAATAAAAACTGTATTCAGTTTTAAATTTTAATGAAATATAAGATTAAAATTTTAAATTCAGCAATAAAATAAGCATTAGTTATAAATATTTAAGTTCTGGTTTACAGATATCTACAGTTCCAGCTCATAATATATGGAATAATTATCATAGAAAAACAGAGTTATATCAAAGAGAGTAAGGGCAGTTAATCATTCCTGCAAGGGGTCGTTTTTAACGTTATGTTATGTTATAAAATGTGTATTGTAACCTCAAATAATTATTTAATTAATTCCGGTGTGATAAGATTGCATAGCCAAGTTCATTTTCTATGATATTTAATGATATGTAAATAATATTGAATGTAAGTAATGTAATATCATACAATATTATACAGTTATCCCTCAGCCTTAGTATCAATGATTGAATCAGAAACACCAGAACATTTTATCATTGTTATACAACCACTATAGTTTGTTTTAGATCCACAATTTTTTTAATTTTTTCCTATAAGACATCAACTGCACGGTTATTAGCTGGTATTTAGTATGGGAAGGGCACAGTTGATTTGGGACAAGTGTATATAGTATGAGGAGTGATCACTAAAAACTCAGGTGGTTACACATCCGAGAGCAAGGGATTAAGGCCGATACTTGACCTCAGAATATGTAAGTGATTACGGCCACACCAGGCAGTTCTTAAATTAGATAATTTTTATTATATGTTACATATTGTAACAAATATAATATGTTTATACTATACTGTTAGTTAAATAACAATCAACACWATAGAAGTTTTAAAATTAAAAAAATAAAGTAATTTCCTCCTTTTGCATTATTTTATAGTCTGTTATTAGTATATTTTTTTTCTGGAATGTAACTTAGGAAAATAACAAGAGCTGTATTACAAAAAAATATTTTTAAATGGATGATACACTAAATTTATTTTCACCAATGTACAAATTTAAATTAAAACCTAATCAATAGTATACAATCTGTAAAATTATTTTACAACCCTTAATTAATTATGTCCCAAACTAACCTCTCTTAGCTCTTTCACTTTTAATCCTCCTTTTCCGATTATACACCCAGCTTGACTTTGGTGTACCAACATTCTAACATCGACATCAGTCTCTCCTTGATTATCGTTATTACCTTGACCACCACCAGCTCCACCACGTTTAAATCTCTAATTATCAATAAATAATATTTAAATTAATATTAAATTAATACATTTATTTTTTATTTATGTTTGAATACTTACTGAACCACCATCTTCTAAATTACCCATAACTTCGCCCAAAACTTTCAAAGCATTGTCATTACTTGATATAATAGTCAGTATTCTAACAAAAAAATAAAATAAATAATTATTTGATCTCACATGAATATATAAAAGGCCAACAAAAAAATAAAGCATATCACTAAGAATGGACCAATTTATAGATACAAACACTAAAATTAATCTCAAAAGGCAAATTTTTATGTCAATATTTTAAAATTAAATTATATTGATAAAAAATAAATAGGTAAAACACTTAAAAAGCATAGTTAATATTAATTAATGCAGGTAAGAAATTGGTCTACTCTTAGCATATTTCCCCATAAAACTCACAAACAAAAAAGAAATTTATCAGTTTAAATAAACTGAATTAGAGGACTAACGGAAAGTGATTTAGCAAACAGTTCTATAACATTTAATTTATATTTTTTAATAGTTTTTGGATATAATGGATTTTTTCTTCTAAGTTATTCTCAGTGTAAAATCCCAGTGTAGGAGGCAATTTATAAATTAACCATAAAGAATGAAAATTGAAAAAAAAAACTGCAAGCCYTGAAAGCCATATGAGAAATTAACCTATTTTCATAAAATAAAATTTCTCAATATTAGAGGCTTTCAGTCAATTAAATAATTTATTAACAATAAAATGATTATAAATACACATCTGAATCTACTAAAGAAAAAAAAGTTATGCATAAAAGAAAATTTTAAGTATATATATATATATGAGAGATTGATGATGGATGATTTACCGTTCAGGACCCGGGCAATCTGGGACAGTGACTGTGGCATTGTACTGTTAGATGGACAGCGTCAGGTAGTATCCGTTATTGTTCGCAGGTTGTATTCGTCGATGATTGAGGTTCAGGGCATATGCGTGGTATATGCAGAGGGGCCCAGGGTACCACGGGACATGTGAAATAAATCACATCGAGGGGCATGGGCATATGGGCATAGAACACATAACAAATTTCCAAGATCAGTCCTGTTTTAGTTAAGTTACATAGCAACTATACATGATTATTATTTGAACTTTATAATTCCAGTATCCTTTTTTTTTTTTAAACTTAACATGTTCCGAGAGGAAAAATATCAAATAGGCCTACTTACCTTCATACATATTTCTATTAATTTTAATTTTATAAGATAAAATAATTGGGAATAATTGACAAGTATAAAATAGTCTAACAATATTCCTTCATGATCAACTGAGCTCCTCGACCAAACAAGAAATAATTATAAAGGGATTAAATGTACATAACAATAGTCAATAGTAGGCCTATTTTGGTTGGTTTTTAATTTTTAGTATATTTAACAAACATAATTTTCAAATTTTAAACAAAAAACTCACGTCTGTACGC